GAGATAAAATGCAGTGCGGTCCATCCCCGAACATGTAAGCTGGTTCCACTGTTCTCAGCAGCATGCAGTGGATGACTATCCAACAAGCTGGGATAATGACTCCCATTGGCTGCAAATGTCTGAAAGACATAGAAAATGTGCCTGTTTTTTTTATTTTAAATGCTGCCTTAGGCAAGTAAAGCAAAAAAAAAAAAACTACTGTTGAAAGTAAAGTTAGAGGAATCTCTTCCAAAACAGCGGCAAGATAATTTGTGCAAAACCTGTGGAATAGCTCAGATCAACTCTAGACCTAAATGCAAATAGAAATCTGCAGCAAGCCATAATATTAATTCCTAACAGAATTAGTTGCAGAAATTATTTGTGGCTGAGGAGGGTCTTATGAGTTCAGTACAATTAGAGGCATAAAACATATCCTGTTTATTGTAAGGCTCTACCCTGTAAAGAATACAATAAATCTTAGATGCAACACTAAAAGAGAGTCCTGATAATCAGCTTGGAGCAGTGAGAGCCCTTTCTGCATCAGCAAACAGGGCTTTGACCTCATTCCTCAGGGACTTGTTTTGTTTTATAAGGAGGATTACATGGAGAAATGTTTGCTTGACCTTGGATCACACACTCCAATGACCTTTCCCTTCAGCATTTCCAGAATCCTGATTCCTGAGTGGTTCCTGGCAGGCTGTGGATGTCCCCTTATCAGAGAACCATGTCTCATCTGTACTAGTGTTTGCAGCTGTGTGACACACTTTAAACAAAAAAGTTAAAATCTTTAGCTAAATGGTACAGCATGCTTTGGAGGAGATAGAGCAAAGTCTTCATTCTAAACGTTGAAAAAAAAAAAACAAGAACCAAAAAACAAGCCAACTAAGAATAGTTGATTTCATGACTTGCTTTTAATTTAAACAACCAAGAAAGATGTAAGATGTAAATGTAAACACTAGATGACAGCATTGCTTTCCGGTATTTATGTATGATTCATGTCTGAGCTCAGGTTTTTGTCAGGGGGCAAAATGGCATTCATCAAATGTGCAGCGGTAAACACAGCATTATAACATCCTACTTAAAAATTTGAAAATGTGTTTTGAACATCTTATGTCAAAGAATTATATTAATTTGTCCTATAAATTCCTAAATACCACAGGATGTTCAGAATATATATGCTTAATAAATAGTTTTCCAACTTTTTTGGCATTTCAAATAAATCAAAGATACATAATTGATTTGTTTTTTCTTCAAATTGCCAGCCCTTCACAAATTATCAGCAGACTGCTATTACCATATTTAACTCTATACATTAAACTGAATGATACCACTTCAAACCAATCATTGACCTCCTAGAGATTGTGACTGGTTCGGTTAGTAAAACAATTTTTTCCTCAAGTTCTCAGAGGAGCTTCATAACCTCCCTACCAGAATTAGCCCCTCCCATTTGGACCAATATGGGATGTGAAGGTGTGCAGGAACAGGTGAAGGTATCCATCCTACTGTAAATAAGATCACTGTCCAAGTGGCACTGGGGGGCACTCACTGTTGTGACGAATGATACCATAAATGTTTATTGTTTACAATCTGCTACTTATTTTTGGGCACATTAAGTCATCCCTCGTCCTCTTGGCTTGAAACTCTATAACATATGCTCAGCTTGTGCATTAGGTAAGGCTAAAGTCTATCTGAAGAACAACGGGAACTAAGGATATCCCCTGATTTCCTGAAGAGAGCTTCCCCCGCTCCTCCCACACCTCCACAGGACATTGGACCATGCCGTCTTACCATCAGCTGGTCAAGTTATGAAGCAGTTGCTGCTGGTTTTATTACTCTAAACAGTTAGGGGGTCCTGGAATATCCGCACAGTTGAAAATGGACCTGCCACCTGTTCTAACGATGATGCCAACAGCATGAGAAAAAAAATCTGAACTGAGACACTATTATGCACCTAGCCTTACATGCACCAATATATTCTCAAATTGTTCACATTTTCTATATTATCAGCATTTTGCTTAACAGACCAAAAACTAGCAAAGGGATCTTTGGTTTTAAAGTGAGGGAAACGTGATACATGGTTTTGAATTTCTATGACTAAAATGCTGGATTTAAATTCAGCACAGTTAATCTGAATAAAGTTCAATAAAATGGATTTTCTTTTCATGTTTTCTCTGCCTAAATTCAACTCGTAGGTTTGCTATAAAACCTCAGGGTACAAACAGCACCATGAGGACCAAAGAAAACAGCAGAAAGTTCAGGAAGAGCTTTAGAGATGTTAAAAACCATATGTAGTTAGGTTATTACTCTCCAAAGCTTTGAATAGCTCATAAACGATCTAAAGATGGAAAGCTGCAGTTTAGGAAATGGCTATTCACCGAAACCGATGGGCTATGCACAGAGAAAATAAATAAAACAGCCAACTATGTGAGTCAATAAAACTTCAACAATAGTGGCAACACATCGTGCAGGGGGTACGTGTTTCCGGCAGTGACCAATCTGATGAGACTATAATTTGGGGATAGTATCAGGAAGAGAATTACCCATAACACCCATCAAAGTACAACAGAAGGGTTTAGATAGAATCATGTTCTTATTTTTAGAGTGAAAATGATTTTCACAATGGTGTCTCTCTTCGCTAAAATGACAGTATGTGTGTTGGAGTAAGTGTAAGATGGTATGAAGGCATCCCACCACACCAGAACCTTCTTCTGTCTCATGCTAATATTGAAGAGATGCAGAAATACTCTGCAGAGATCTCTGAAGGCTCTGGAGAAGACCCCATGCCTCTCCAGCTGCCTTATCATCTGATCTCTAGGGTCATTTTGGTGGAAGAGGGAGGCAAATAGAGCTGCAGTGTCTAATTTGGTTGGTAACAATCACATAAAAAATAAAACACCCACAAATCTCTTTCATTGTTCATCTGTGGCTTGCTTTCCAGCTTTTTCCTGTATGCTCATTGATGTCTCTTATTTTGACTTCATATTGCTTCTGTGATTCCTTGATAATTCCAGTAATTGAAATTCCTCATCAGGTATGGATGAAGCGCTGTGGGTCGTATGTGGAGGTCTTTTAGTCATTATGAAATAGAAGCATTCACAGAAAACACTTAGTTAGCTGCAATATTGACAGCAACTTAGTTGACTGAGTGTAGAGATTTTTAGGGGCTTTAATTTTGAAATTTCACATCAGATTCCACATCAAGAAGGTTCAGTCAAATCTGGAGATCTTCAGCTGTAATCCTAATTTGAAAGGATTACCTGAAAAAAGACAGCTTAGCAAAAAGATTGTGAGCAACTTAACTCAAAAAGAAAAATCTGCAGGTTTTAAGGGGCTTTATTATAAAATTCCACATGATTTATTTGGGGTTTGATGATTCACTTGGTAACTAAATGTAGCTATGTAGAAAAAAAAAGAAATTCTAAAAGCATTTAATGAGTCTAATTAGAGTAAATGAGATGTATATTTTGGGATATTTAGTGTCAGAAAACAGAAAAAAAAACATAGACTGAAGAAATTATTAACAAAAGTCAAATATGTAAAAAAAAAAAAAAAAACAGTCTAAGGCGTTACTACCGTAATTCTTTGTGTTTCTGCGACCTAAAAAAAAATTATTTGATAAAGATCGCATGCTGCCCATAATAATCAATTGGAGAAGAGAAGCACAAAGTAAAGTAAAAGTACCTAAAGTAAAAACAGAAATTGGATGCAAATAAACATTAGTTGTTAATATGAGCCCACTTTCAATGTTTGTAAATTACATTCAACACTGGCAGATACTAATATTAATATAGATTTATTGTGCATCCCTACATGGCAGTGATGCTCCACTCTTTCTCTGTCTTCTGTTTTTTTCTGCTGTGCATCCATGGCTCCTACTTTTCAGCTGATTGGGTTTTTTTGGGTATGTAGTAGAAGCAATCTTTTTTTTTTTTCAGATGTTAATTAGCGGGCTGCTTAGTGGATAGCACTGCTGCCTTGCAGCAAGAAGGTTCTGGGTTCGTTTCCCAGTCCGGGATCTTTCTGCATGGAGTTTGCATGTTCTCCCTGTGTATGCATGGGTTCTTTCCGGGTACTCCGGCTTCCTCTGACTGTAAGGCTAATTGGCTTCTTTAAATTGAACGTAGGTGTGAATGATTGTTTGTCCTGTTTTTCTCTGTGTTGCCCTGCGATGGACTGGTGACCTGTCCAGGGTATACCTCACCTAGACAGCCGGCGATAACCACCAGCACCCCTCACGACCCCAGCAGGGTTAAGCCTGACAGAAAATGGATGGACGTTAATTAGCTGCCCCCAATTAAAAAGGTCAAACTTAAAAATGGTTGCTATGGTTATCCATCATAACAAATTACCCAAAACAAAAATACATCAGCAAATATCCTCCAAGCTGCTTGGCATCTAACATTAGATGATAAAAATTGATAAACATAATTACTTAGTCATTCTGATATATTAAAATTTACATATCAGAATGACACCAACAGAGCCACAGAAGCAGACAGCGCCTTAAGCAGTGCAATTCCATAATTATAAAATAAAATTCTAAATAATTATGATTACTGAATTACACATAATTTAATCACAAATTAATTGGATAACTATTATATATAAATAATAGTAATCTCCAGCAGTCTAAGGTTAAAAAACAGGGTTCTCAAGTCAACAGTCCATCACAGAGCAGAGACATGCAACCATGCACGCACACCTAAGAGCAATAAAGATCCCAATCAACCAAACAGTCCTGTTTTTGCAGTGTGAGATGAAAATGCATTTTCCTGGAGAGAACCTACGCATGCACACGGAGAACATCCAAACTGCATGCACAAAAACCAGGAATTGGTCCCACAAACTTGTTGCTGCAACAAAGCTACAAACTGTCCCCACATCCAGCCCTCTACCATATACATCATTGACTATAAATTAAATGAATATTTTAATACATAGACGAATGTGCTTGCAACCTGACAAAAGATGAAAAGATTGGTGGGGGATAAATACTTTGCATGACAGTAAGTAATCAAACCTTTTTTTGTTTGTTTTCAGTATCAACTATAATGTTTTTATTTTTTTTAAGACAGGCTTTTCAATGGGCCCCATTCATCACCACCATCAGTGTGTTTAAGTGTGATTATTCAGACATGGACAGACTCAAATATTCTCATTATTCTGCAGGCAGTGTGATACAGCAATACAGAATATTAGCTGATTGAGCAAAATCAGTCAGCTGAAATTCTTCTCATGAAGGAATTAAGCCAGACCAACCTGCTTAAGCGGTTAATACACTGTAGGTTTATAAAAAACAACCTAAAACGGGTCAGTGCCAGCATTTAGACCGCAAAATGATAATCTGGTGCAGCCTGATAAATCTAGCTACACTTTCAGTAATTGCTTTATAAAGCAGTTTAGTTGTGAAAGGTTAATCTCAAGGTATTATAGCCCATTTATAACACAAACTGAGTAATCGTTCCATCTAATTCCCATTGCAATGGGAACAATCTTCCAAATACGGTGTTTCTGACCATTCTTAGCTCACTCAGTTAAGCAAAAGTTTAGCAAAAATTCATTACAAAGATTTCTATAAATGTTGGACTTTTTCACTCTAAAATCTTTAGAGAACAAAAATGAATGGATGGAGAAAAAAACAGGAAAATAAATACATGAAGGATGGATAGGTGGTTGGATGATGCATAGACAAATGGATGGATCAAATGATGCGTTGATTTATACACTGTTACACCGAATAAAGGATGGATTCTTTTTTTTCCGTGAAAAATACTTCAGTTTCATCATTTTCCAAACTTTTCTAACCTGAAATCCAAAAAAGACACCCTGCTTTATTTGGGTGATGAATCAGGGTCTGAGAAACAGTCTCACACAAGACAAACGAGGTTTGTTATGAATAGAAAACTTGTATTGTGCAGACAATAAATAGTGCTTACAAAGGGATTTCGGTCTTGTACACAGACAAGGTTTCTGTTTAAGAACATTTTATACGGTTGATATGAAACTGATTAGTTCAATCATTGAGATTCAGACACAGCTCGGGGGATGTGACTAACATTACTGGGGTGAGACTAGTTGACTTCCTCGCATGCACCATTCCTCCTCAGTAGCATCAAAAACAAAGTCTTTGAAAAAAGTCAGTTTACAAAAAGAAGTCCCTGCTTGTCTCCTGGAGATCCACGCCCTAGTGTCCTTCCTGCTCCTCTGACGGGGTGAACAGGCGGTGAGGGAGGGGTTCCCCTGAGCGGAGGTGGACCTTTGCTGCATGCAGCCTCTTCTACCAGCAGATCTCAGACTAGAGACATAGCCTCCAAGGTTTGCTGAACCCAAATATCAGGATGGCCACTGACTGTGGGAACCCGGGGAGGGGAGGAGTTCAAAGACCCTGTGGAAGGCCTTTTCTGACAGAACCAGATTTAAGCAACTCTTCACAGAAGAAACCTTGCTAAGGCCGGTGAAACCTGCACAACAGAAGGAAATCAAACAAGAAAGGTTGTCGTCATCACTCTGAAAAATATTATTAGCTCAATGAAAAATGCTCCTAAAAAATCTGGCCAAGTGTAAGCACAACCTCTGCAGATTCAGCTGCAGTTGAAGTAAGCAAAAGGCAGACTGAAAAAGTAAGAACATTCATTATTGTGGAAAGTTAGTGCAAAACAGCACAACTTCTTTTTTTTTTTTTCCTCATGGGTACTGGGTGGAGCTAAATTTAGGCCTAGCTTCACATGCTGCACTTTTATCAATGCAAAACAGTTGCACAGCATCCTGGTGACCCCGTTAGACACCGAACAACAACAGATTCGTGCTTACCTTGTCAGATGCTTGCTAGAGGAATGAACTTCCATTTCGTTGCTCTTGAACTCGTTTAGCTCTTTCCTAATTGCCGCCTGTGGAACAAAAGCAAAGCAAAGCTTGAGCTCAGGTGTAAAGAGGCTCCACTGGTAAAGCTTAAATGTAACGGTGAAAAAGCATCTGTTTTAGGGGGAAGGTGTTAGACGGGGATGCACACAAGGTCGGGATGCTTTGCCCAGGTTCACAAAGGAAGACTTGCTCATTACCTGTCTTTTCCACATATTTTTCTACTTTCACTCATTTATCTATTTTTATAACACATTATATTAGGGCTGAAACAATTAATCAGATTATTGGTTATTGAAATAATGGTCAGATAATTAAGTAATTGATTTATCGTTAACTGGAGTATAGAGACTGTAAAACATGCCTTTACCCAACAGAGTAACCCACTGAGAGAAGTAATTATACCAAGTTTGTAAAAAAAAATATATTAACTTTTTGCATTTATGATAAAATATACATTTCGTCTGTCAATGTGCTCTATCCAGAACTCCTCAAGTGAAAAAGTTTTGTTATAGCTGGTTTATTTTCTTAAAAAATCTTTCATAAGGAATTTTTTGTTATCTGATTATTAATCAATTCATCGAGAAAAAAAATTTGATTGATTAATCGATTTGCAAAATAATCGTTAGTTGCAGCCCTGTATTATATTATACAGCACCAAAGATTTTGATAGATTTTTTTTTTAAGTTGATTAATTGTCCAACACTGACATTTCCTGGAAGGATCTTAGATTCTAGTAATATTTAAAGGTAGGAAAAAAGCAATGCTGGTCAGATAGAGCCTACCTTGTCAGCAGCTGACAGTCTGGTCCACGGCTTGTCTGCACGTCTGTCATAGTCCTGAGCTTTGGCCACTTCCACATAGTCGCTAAAACGAATTAAGATCTTCCTGTCCCGCAGCTCGTCTACTGTTGGCCTCTGGTTGAGCTGGAGAGAAAAGAGGAATAACCCCCAAGGCCTCAGTGTGATTGAAAAAAACAAAAAGAAACACAAATCCTAGTGTCGTACTTTGAATCCATCTCACTACTTACCTTTCTGTTTAGTCGCTGCTTTATTTCCCTCCTCTCCTCCTGCTCAATCTGGTCATTTCTCTCTGTTAAAACCAAAATCACAAAATACACGCACATATTTACATTTTAAAGCTAGACTGAATGATCCAAGAACTTTGATCCATAAACACTTCTCCAACATCCTGAAACTGCACCAAAAGTAGCTTTTTAAAAGCTTTTAAATCATTTCAGGGACAGGTAGGATCTAAATCTTAGTTTTATTTTCTCTAAATATAGTTATGCACTATGATCGTCTATTTGGATTGTAGCCAGCAAGCACCTTGTACTTTAGGTTGAGCATCATTGTGGTTGTTTTAGGAGTGAGAGTGTGTTGCAGGGTGGAGGAAGATGAGGACAGCTGCTGACTGTTCACAGGTGGTCCAACGTACCCAGGTGACCCAGATCAGAATAAAATGTGGGACTCTCACATGCTTGGTTCATAATGTTTCAGTACAGTAACGACAGCTTGGTCTCATTATGTTTGGTTTGTTAGACTAGAAGCTGGTGCGTTCATAAATTAAAATTCAGTATTTAGATAAAGTAACATGAAGAATTCCATGCAAATCTAAAGTCCACTAACAGAGACGGTTAAAGAAAACGTAAGCTTTGATTGGATTTTTCTTGAAAACCAGATAGCAGGACTGAATCATAGCGACACCTCCAGCTCAGCAGCAGATGGCACCACCAAGAGAAACAACTTTCTTCAGATGTCAATATAGCAACAACAGGTTTCATGCAAACAACAGGTTTTATCAGCATCATTTTCCAAATTATTTCCTTCCTTCCTTTTCCATATTCCTTGATTTAGATCTATATAGGCCAAATATGTTTTTATATTTAAAAAGATGCCGTAGTGGGTCTTTTTTTTTTTTTGCGAAAAAAATTGCTCTGAAACGTATTCTTGTAGAATATTTATATTGTCACTAATTACTGCTATCTAGACTTTTTAACTTCTATTAACTAACTAACTTCTTTGCTTTGTACATTTCACAACCGTAAAACAATCTATTTCAAAGTATTGGACTATTAAATTTAAAATAAAAACTTTTATTTTGAAAAACATATTATTTAATATTTAAATAAAACATGAAAATGTTCACTAATCCACATCTTCCAAATTGTTAAAACATTCAGTTGATTGACATTGAGAGCTCTCTTTTTATGTAAAGAGCGTTCTAAATTAAATGTATTAACGTCATTATTACGCTGTAGTGTGGGAAATAGCAAAATATTGACATTTTGTAAACTACTTGTAAAGTAATACAACCGTATGGGACTTCCTGTGGTCTTTTTGTAAACTTTCTTCATATTGCTGATTTAATAAAAAGTAAATAAATAAAAAGTTGTCTCCATGGTCCAACTACTCACGCTTTAAGATGTTCCGGCTCTCCAGCTCCTCCACAGCCGGTCTCTGGCTCAGTCTCCTGCGGAAGAACACCAGAATTACGTTCTGGACCATCCTCACACCTGAATCCTTCCGCCCTCCCTGCTGATGCTGCTGCTGCCTGCTATCAGCGCTGTTGGAGCGCGCGCGCACGTCGAGAGCCGAACAGCGGCTCTCCACCGCAGCTTCTCTCTCTACCGCAGCATCTTATACTCCACATCGGGAAGGAAAAAGTCCGGCTGCACTTCGGACAGCACCTTTCTATGCCAAGGAGGTTAAAGCAGCTTTTCCCGAAAGAAAGCAGCACAGTTTGAATATTCAGAGCTGCTGCTGCCGCGCGGCGGTGAAGTCTGAGCAAACTGACTGCTTCACTGCCTGCTTTTAGCCACACGCTCAGTGCTAATGTAAAGGGGAGGGATGAAGGGAGGAGGAAAGTCCCCTAACATACACTTTCACAAACACATAAAGCATCAATAAAAGATCATTGTTTCTGCTGTAGGGGTGTTTTGTACGGAAGAGGATTAGGGCCACTGGAAAAAATAAAAAAAGGGTAACTGATTTTTAAATTTTATTTCAGTTTAATATGGGAAAAAAGTCAGAATTTGGAAATTAAAGTCAGAATTCTGAGGGAAAAAAAAGTCAGAATTATGAGATTAAAAGTCAGAATTATGAGAAAAAAAAGTCTGAATTCTGAGATTAAAGTCAGAATTCTGAGGGAAAAAAAGTCAGAATTCTGAGAAAGAAGTCAAGCAAAGAATAACGCTTAAAACTGTTTGTTAAATTTTAGTCGACTAAAACCGACTAAAACAATCACATATTGTAATGATTAAAATGTGACTAAGACTAATAATAGTTTTCAACCTGAAGACTAAGACTAAATCTAAAATGGCTGTCAAAAATAACACTGCTTACAAATAAGAATGCACTTAAATCAAAGCTTACAATACGCTACTAGCAGGAACATCATTAGTCATGTTTTGTTATAGGGGATGGGTAAGAGTGAGAGAGGCACAGAAAGGGATCCAGTCCCTAAGAGTTTCTGATAGACAGGGGTAACCCAGTTGTGGTACTGCTTTGGAAGGCTTTTCAGATGAGTAGAGACTTAATCGTTTTGATCCTGGTGTAGCGAGCACTGCTGGCTGACACAAAAATCCAATTATTATAGAACGACCCACTGCAACTTTGGTCAGTCCATACTTCAGTTTTTATGCTTGGTCTTTATCTAAAGAAGCTTAAATCCCCCCAAAAAATATTGCTTTGCAAAATTATTCCTGTTTTGGTTGTAAAACAAATGTTGCATAGATCTTGGTAATTGTGAAAGAGTCTCAGTTCAGTATATGTTCAGGTTTGATCATTGTAGTAGTTTGGATCGATAGCAAGATGTCCCAATGTAGCAGCAGTACAGAAACAGGGTCCATGCTGACACTAGAACTCACTGGAAAAAATCTTTGCTTGGGAATGCTGTAGTTGAACCTCTTCACCAGAACTAGACTCATGTTAGTAACTGAATGGTATATCGCTCCGCAGCTTTGCATTTTAATATCACAGGATCTGGTACCTTAAGATCCTCCTACACCCTTGCTGGGATTCATTATTCATGTCCCGCAAAGTCCTACAATTCAGTCTCAGAAGGGCAGATGAAAGCATGTAAAAACAGTGACCATGCATGTATTGGTATTGCTTGGATGCAATGGTGCATCTCAGGACAAAAAGTTGGAGCAGGGGCAAACTTCTGTGAGATACCAAGAGTTAAAAATAAAGATAACAGGTCACGATTCCATTGAAAAAAAAGGGAGAATCTCATATTAGGATCCACTTTCCTAATTCAGCAGAAAGGAGATAAATCATAGTGTAATAAAGCAAGCTGAGACAGAGCAGGGATTTCTACCACCAACAGGAATGATGAGAGGAGCTGAAGGTGCAGACTGGAAAATGTTACCTGGGAACACAGTGTCACAGTAACAGAAGGATAATCGCTCATTTGTACAACAGCGTTGAACAGAGTGTCTTTTTTATATATATATATCTGCATGAATAAGTTAATTCTCTGAAATAAAATGAACACTGGTAATTGTTGTAAACGTTAAGGAGGTGTTTGTTAAGATTTGTGTGTGTGTGTTTTAATGAACACAACACACAGTTTTTGTTGTGATGTTTGGTGCAATTAAGCAACATTGCCACATTACCAGTGTTTCAAGGTTTTATTGCCACATTATGGACCTGATGCTGATGAGTCTGAACCCAAGAGAACAACACGCAACACGAGAGCCCACTCCACAGACTCTAATTAGATCTGGCCATGAATATTCAAATGTACTGTTCTAAGCAAACAAAGACGCTCGTGTTCACTGTTCCAGCATTTCTCATAATTTTCACATATGCTTAAAAAAAATGTTCTTCTAATATATCATGCAAGCACACAGGCTCTTGAAATTTAAAGCAAACAAGCTTCATTGGGAAAGAAATAACTTCTTGTTGTTTCTTCATTAGCCTCCAACATGAGACAAAGACATGACAAAGTTAAAAACCAAATACAGCACCATGCTACAACTCAGCGAGATCGGGCAGGCTGCCGAGCCCCCTTGACCTCCAGGAGTGTGGTTCCGTGTTAAATTGGCACATTTTCTCCAGGGTCCGAGGTTATTCATCCACAAAGCACACCCCCTAAGCCCGCCTGCAAAAGCCCTAGCTCCCTATCCCTTCCTTAGCGTATTCCGACTTCCATGGCCACCGTCCTGCTGTCTATATCAACCAACACCTTTTCTGTGGTCTGATGAGCGTCGGCATCGGGCACCTTAACCCGGCGTTCGGTTCATCCCGCAGCGCCAGTTCCGCTTACCAAAAGTAGCCCACTGGGCGGCTCGCATTCCACGCCCGGCTCCAAGCCAGCGAGCCGGGCTTCTTACCCATTTAAAGTTTGAGAATAGATTAAGATCGTTTCGGCCCCAAGACCTCTAATCATTCGCTTTACCAGATAAAACTGCAAGACACAGTGCCAACTATCCAACTATCCTGAGGGAAACTTCTGACTTAACCAGCTACTAGATGGTTCGATTAGTCTTTCGCCCCTATACCCAGGTCGGACGACCGATTTGCACGTCAGGACCGCTACGGGCCTCCACCAGAGTTTCCCCTGGCTTCGCCCTGCCCAGGCATAGTTCACCATCTTTCGGGTCCTATCACACACGCTCATGCTCCACCTCCCCGACGGGGTGGGCGAGATGGGCCGGTGGTGCGCCCGGAGCCACTGGGGGGCCCGGGATCCCACCTCAGCCGGCGCGCGCCGGCCCTCACTTTCATTGCACCACGGGGTTTAGTTGGGCCCTCTGACTCGCGTGCCTGTTAGACTCCTTGGTCCGTGTTTCAAGACGGGTCTAGTGGGTAGCCGACATCGCCGCTGACCCCTTGCGCCTGTGTACGTGGGCCGGTCCCCACCCTGGTGCCCTGGCGGGATTGCCACAGTTATCCAAGTAACGGTGGAGCGATCAAAAGAACCATAACTGATTTAATGAGCCATTCGCAGTTTCACTGGGCAGTCCGTGTGTACTTACATTTGCATGGCTTAATCTTTGAGACAAGCATATGCTACTGGCAGGATCAACCAGGTAGCCTCCCTTTCCCGCGGAGAACCGGGAGCCGGGAGCAATTGGTAACCCGGGGGCCCAGCAGGGCCGGAAGACGGAGACCCGGGAAGGGGCCCACCGCCGCCTGCTTTCGCTGCTCCTCCTCGCGTCTAGGTTCGGCTTTGGAGGGCATGAGAAACGATGCTGCTCTCTGGAGGTCGCCATCGGGGACGGCCTGCCGCTGCCACTCGGAGAGGAGGACCGCCGGCGGAGCTCCAGTCGAGGACCGCTGGGTCTGACGGGGCGTCTCGGTCTCTCTTCCCAAAAGGAGGCCGCCGTGCGGGGATGGGTGCCCACGGGGTACTACTTTAGAGATAGTTTCAAGGTGTTGCTTTATTGTATGTCTCGTACCATGTCTTTCGGTGGTGCTGTTCTTTTTTCATCTCATTACAGGTGATGAAGCAGACTGAAAATGTTTTGTCTCCTTTCTATCTCCTCTTTCTTTCATCTTTTCTCTTTTTTTCTTTTTTCTCTTCTTCTGTTTTTCTGCTCTATTTACATTTCAGTGTCCATATGAACTGTAAAAACCCCTGCATAATTATAATAAAGTAATTTATATGCATGAAACAAGTGTAGCAATATGGCAATTGCCATACTGCTACACTTGTGAAAGTAAAATCTGTTGGGCTCTTTTTGGCATCAAGACAAATATTCTTATTGCCACATTGCCAGACAGAACACTGTAAAAAGAAAAAAGAAAAAAAAGAAAAGATTTCTCAGGTGAGACTGGAGGGATGGGGGTGTCTACATAGATGTTCCTCCTTTACCCCTTTACCCTGGCAGTCTTGATAGGCAGAAGAGGAAAATGAAGGGATGAAGTTAAAACTTCAACAACAAGGTGCAATAGGCTGCTTTCCAACACTACCTGTCTATGGTCTCTTCCCCAAATGTTGAGCTCAGACTGTGAAAACAGCAAAGGAAAGGCTGCAACATTTCATCCAAAGCCTTGAGAATAATGACAGAGTGGAAAGCACCTAGAATGCATGTCTAAAATAATCTCCCTGGTCTATGATGGCTTTAGCTGTGGCTGGGATTACAAGTGGCCTAAAAAACAAGAGCACAGACATGGCAATACTGAAAGCTGAAGGGAGGCAGTGTGCTAAATGGAGCAGGGCTACAGCCTGATCTGTTGGCCTCTGCTGAAAACATTTCAGGTCAATGAGATTTGCCTCAGCTCACAGAGAGAATCAAATAAGCAGCAGCCACAAAAGCTGGGTCCGATATATATGTTACATTAGAAAACATTACTGCTGTTCAGAGGCATTTAAGACAATCGAAACACCACAAAAGCAAATGTCAGTCAGCACACTTTTAAGTAGGCCAAAGAATGGGCTTCAGTCACAGCCTCCTGCGGCGATCTGTGCTTCATGAGTCTTCACCCACTTGGTTTGGTCAGAGGTAAAACCTTCTCCTTGGT